TGCATTTGACCCAGAAGTGCCCCACAGTATAGATCCAGTTGTTGATCTCCAGTGGATACACAGCCTATGTTGGAACAAATGATATCACTGCCAGCCCCAGCATTGATGTGGAGGCACAGATACTGAGAGATTATGTGGCTTTTCAGATCAAAAGATTTAAAGATTTGTTAAGTCTAATATCAGATGCCAGTTCTTTCCCACCAAGAAACAGACTGGAGAGAAAATGGAACAATGAAAATAGCTGAGAGTTACAAATCTCACAGTCTGAGCACTGCAATCCAGAGTGAGAGTGTGCTGTATACTTTCTACATAAGCCAATAAATAATTTTCTCTTAAATTGATACTAGTTTGACTCCTGCATCTTGACTGTAGTTGCAGTTTCTGGGTTTATCAACCCTTATGAGTCTTTGTTTATGGGCAGGATGTAAATATTGAGGGAAAGCTTCTAAGAGAGACAGGAGGGGACCTGAGAAAGTGGGTTGCCCCCAATGAGTCTTATGACAAGTAAGAATTTCACTCATCCCACCAAGTAAGTTATATTTTAGCTTGAAATATAGCTAGCTCATATTCCCCATTTTATCAATTCTGAGCTTCTTGAATTCTTAGTCTAGCGGTAATTTGGTCTGATTTCTTTGTACTTGCTGCAGAGTGGTCTTCCTGATCTCCCTCAACAGCACATTTTCCTGGGTTATGTTCACTGTTCATTGAAGGCCATCAGGCTTTGTCCTTTACCATCCACATTTTTCTAGAGTCAAGCACTTATCATGGTAGTAAGGGACATATGGAGTAAATGTAGCAGTCTGCATTCTCAAAACATCAGTTTCTTGTTCCCTGCTTTAGTCATTATTGACTGGGTATAGATTTCTAGATCAAAGTAATTTTACCTTCTAATTTAGGAGCTGCTATTCTATATCATCCAATATAACTCTTGGGAGGGAGAGCTACAGCTAGCTTATTTCTTGTTTTCTTTAAGGTAAACTAAAAATTACTGGGAGGCTGTTAGAATGTTCTCATCTTTAGAACTATAAGGTTTCACAAGTATGTTTCTGGATTTTCCTCCTGTTGTAGTTTTCCAAATTCAGCTTGTCCAAACATTCAGTAAGCTATTCCAAGCTAATACTCATGATTTCCTTCAATCTACAAAGATTCTCATTTACTTTATACATTCTTATATTTCCTGTTATTTTTTTTCTAGAACATAGATGTTGGACCTTCTAAATCTCCATTTTTTCTGTCTTTTAAACTTACATGCCTGGAGAGTCTGTTGACTTTTCTTTCAGACCTTCATTACTGTAGCAATAATTTTAATATTTAGAACTTATCTAATTAATCCTTTTAAAAATAGCTTGAATTATTTTAACAATATCTGTCCAAATCTTAGACAAGAATAAACTTTTTCTTTTCCTATTCTGGATTGAGTTCTGTCTCTTAGTCCTTACTATGCTGACACTTTTTAACACGAATAGACTTTAACTATGTACTCACATTAAAAATGATACTGTTTGGTCATCCTATGGAAATGACAAGGAATTCTTTGGGTAATATCATTGTAGGTCTGCTTGCTGAATGGGAAGGTTTATAAGGATCTCTGTATGCATGGGAAGGGGTGCATGTCAATAAGAGATTTCCCAAATTCCAAAATAAAGGCTGTAACTAAACTACTAACTTTTCACTCTTCAGCTACTGGAGTATCCATAAGTTCAATGTTTTCATATGAAAAAATTATGACTTTTTCTGTCTTTTTGAGACAGAGTCCGCTATGCAGTTCAGGCTGCCCTTGAGCTCACCGTAACTCAGGTTGGTCTCAAACTTGCAATGATCCTCCTGCCTCAGCCTCCCAAGTGCTGAGATTACAGACACGTGCCACCACTCCTAGCTCATGACATTCTTTTTCAAAACTTCCAGCACTACAGATTAACACTTAATCCCCCTTTGGTCATATCCATTCCCATTCTCAAAAGAAACACTCATTAGTTGGATGTCAAGAATTTTTCTAAGCATTTTACACTAATACAAATGCATTAGAAGTGTATTTCAAAACATAGAAGGGTGATAAAAAATACAGTGAGTGTTTAAGTTATTATAGTAAAAAAGACATGTTGCAAAAAATGATGGGATAAGTGTGCTTGAAGTGAGGGGGGAGTGTCTTGAGTGGGATTGATGGTAATGTCTTTTACTGTAATAGTTTTCAAATATAAACATTTACTATAGTTTTAAAAATCATCCCTCACTGACCAATATTTATGGCAGTTTCTCTCCAAACCATTACAGTGTGCCCTCACCCAATTTACACCCTAGATCTGGTGCTGTGTAACTTCTGGCTCTTCCCCAAATTCAAAACAACCACAAAAGGTAAACATTTTGAACTGATTCAAGACATTGATGTAGCCATGACAGTGTTATCTAAAGGCACTCATGAAAGAAGACTTTCAGTATGGCTTTAGGAAGTGGCAAGAGGCTTGGCGTGGTGGCACATGTCTGTAGTCCCAGCACTTGGGAGGCTGAGGCAGGAGGATCACTGTGAGTTTGAGGCCAGCCTGGGCTACAAAATGAATTCAAGCTATCCTGAACTGTATAGTGAAACCCTGTCTCAAAAAGACAAAAAGAAAAAAAAAATAAAAATAAAAAAAAGAGGAAGGAATGATGGGATAAATGTTTGAAGGGGAAGAATAATAAGGGGGACTAAGTCAATGTTTCTTATTGCAGTACTTTTTTTTTGTTTTTACAAAATTTAAACATTCACCATATACTTTGATTGCACCACCACATAAATTCTGAAAAATTTTCTTTTTCCACACCTAAGTCATTTAGTCAAGTACGTAACACTATCAATCCATTCTCTTAAACTGCTGGTTAGAATTTCTAGTCATGACTCTGATGGCATTTAGATTGTTTTCAACATTTTAGGTACCAACTACCTTACTCACCAGTTTGTACCATAGTGAACATTTAAAAATTTCACTGAGTTCAAAACTGACAGTGATGGGCCGGGAATGTGGCTTAGTGGCATAAGCACTTGCCAGGCAAGTCTGAGGTCGTGAGTTAGACTCCCAGTACCAAAAAAACCCCAAAAAACAAAATACAACTGACAGTGATGACTTATTTCTTCTTATCACTCCCAGTATTTGATATTACACTCTTGCAAACTGCATCTCAGTAAGAGGTTAGACAAGGACTAATTTGCCTTCTGAATTTTTTCCATGATTTATACATTCTTTTCTTTCCCCAATTTCTCCTCTAAGGGTCCTTTAGACAGATAGGCTCCCTTTACTAAAACCCTCCTTTCTTTCAGACTTTTCAGGTAACAGCTTCTGCTACATTTCATGAACACTTTTGTATCTCATCTTTTACAAAATATAAATCTTTTAATCCACTGAGACTTCCTTGCTTTCATTTGGTAGCTTTTTACATTATCCCATGTGTTTAATGAGGTCCAGAAGGAAGAAAAGTTTTGCACAAGAAACCCTTGGTTTTCCCAATGAAACTTCTGATGTTGGCAAATTGCTTATCTGAAAGGTTATACAAATCATACTCTCCTACATCAGTGTATGGCAGTAGCTCCTTTCCTATGCATTAGCATACAATTTTTAAAATCAATATAGTGAAATTTTGATTTCATTGGCTTTAACTGTATTTCTTCTGATCACAGTGAGACTCAGTATTTATCACATGCATACCAGTTATCTGTTGCCTTGTTATACAGTTTACTAATAGGAGGAAAAGTCATTTTATAATTAATTTGTATGAACACTTTTATGCTAAGGATATGGATTTCATAGGTTACATAGACTGCAAAAAATTTTCCCAATCTAGGGATTAAAGAATCACTTATACTATGTTTGCTCATAAAGAACTTTCATACTAGTTACACAATCTATGATTCTGTGTGCGGGAAGAGTGAAGGAGGCATTTGGCTTCCACTCAATTATAAAGGATGTTTTCATTCCAGTGTTAGTGTCCTCTAATGTTTACTCCACAGCCAAACAACTTGGAAGTTTGCATGTAAAATGAAAGGATAATTTTTGTACAGAACATAATTAGATTTTCTCAGTACTCTTGTTTTCCCCAATACTGAGACCACTGATGTGAAATGTCACTTATATGCATTTTCTTTTATGCATATCTGTATGAATGTGTATGTTCACACAGTATTTCAAAATTTAAAAAATGACTCAAATTTTATAAGATAAAAGCTGTAGATTTCTACTACTGACATCTGTATAATACTGAAAATTCTCATAGTGGATTAATGTATAGTCACATTTTCATTTCTATACTCCATTAAACTTTGATCATTCTCTTTGTATCTATATTTATAGGTGCATTTGTTATTCCATTGATTGAATACTCAAAGACTTAACGAGCCAGGAAATAGTAGACCAGGATGGATACAAGACAACAGGGAGTGTTTTGAACTTTGGAGAACTATAAAGCACAGGTCCTCCTAAAGGTTATTACTATTCATTTAAAACTCAATGCATATCATATCATGATTGAGGGTAGCCAGAGTATTGACTGACCTATAGTTCTGGTTTTTCTCCTTTAGCTTTGGAATTTTAGAAATGTAACAATTTTTTTTTTTTCTTCTTGAGACAGGGTTTCACTATGCAGTTCAGGCTGACCTTGAACTCATTTTGTAGCCCAGGCTGGCCTCAAACTCACAGTGATACTCCTGGCTCAACCTCCCAAATGCTGAGATAACAACTTCTTTTAAATAATATAGGTTTGATAGAGTTCATTCGCCTGAAATTAAGAAAGAGTCTCAAACTTACACTTTATTTTCTATTATTCTTTGGTCACTGACCAAGTTTCTGTATTGTGTTTTAAATTAGCATTTTGCTTTTGTTTACATGTAAATGATGACTATATCTCAGTAAATGCTACCTCTTAAGTTTTTTTTCTTAACTAGCTTCTGGCAACCTGCATATCTATATGATGTTATTTTCCTTACCAAGTCATAAATCCACACATTCATCTTGAAATACAAGCCACCATCTTACTTACATCATCATAAAATCTAATGATCATCCTATTTTATTAGATCTTATGACACAATTTTACTATTTCTAATTAAAAAATCTTTACCCTCTCCTGTTCCAGTGTTACTTCTTATTTTTGGTTCATGGTCAGCTGTTTTTGTGTCATGGTTCCTTTTTATTTTACACTCATATCTGAGTTATTAGTTTATGCTAGGCACTCTGATGAGTAATTTTCATGCATTATTTAATTTTCCCATTGACTTTTGAGGTAGTACCAATATCTCAACAATATGAATAAGACTAAAGTTTACAAAGGACAAAATGCTATGTCAAAATTAGGGCTAAAAAATGGAAAAGCAAGGACTGGAACCCAGAACTTTTTAGTGTTGGTACGAGTTACTAAATCTGGGTATCTTCAGGGAATTAGATGGATACTGACGTAAGGGCTTTGGAATGCAGTGTGGAACAAGGAATTGGGGGTCAGGGAGATCTTTTAGGCTATTTTGAGGAATGTCTATTTTAACCTAAGAACTATGGGATGTCATTGGGGATTTTAAGGAGAAACAATAAGATTAAAACTTTTATATTAAAAAATAAAAATTTGGTTGGAATGCGGGAAACTGACAAAGGCAATGGGGAATACAGGGAGACAACATAGAAAGCTATTTTTATAAGGATCTATGTTAAATAGATTAGTGTATATTGGACAAAGATGATGAAATGAAGTGGATTAAAGGGGTCAGATTCTGGACAAATTTAGGAGATAAAGCCCACAGGTCTTGGTAACTGATTGGATGGGGAAGGTGAGGGAGAGGAAAAGGTCAAGAATGCTTCCATAGTATGAATTTTCTCATGATGAGCAAGATGTGCACGTTGCCTGAAAGATTTTCTGCAATCTTTGCATTCATAGGGTCTCTCTCCAGTATGAATTCTCTGATGAAGAGTAAGAGATCCACTATAGCTAAAGGCTTTCCCACAAATATTACATTCATAAGGTTTTTCTCCAGTATGAATTCTCTGATGTTGAGCAAGGCCTGCATTCTGGCTAAATGTTTTCCTACATTCCTTGCACATATAGGGTTTTTCTCCAGTATGACTTCTCTGATGTTGTGCAAGTGATGAACTGTTGCTAAAGGCCTTCCCACATTCAACACATTCATAGGGTTTCTCCCCAGTATGAACCCTTTGATGTTGATCTAGGTATGCAACCTGGCTGAAGGCTTTTCTACATACTTTACATTCATAAGGTTTCTCTCCAGTATGAACTCTCTGATGTTGGGCGAGGTGTGCATACTGGCTGAACGTTTTTCTACATTCTTTACATTCATACGGTCGCTCTCCTGTGTGAATTCTCTGATGTACAATTAAGTATCCTCGATGGCTGAAGGCTTTTCCACACACGTTACACACATAAGGTTTCTCTCCTGTATGAATTCTTTGATGTTGAGCAAGGAATGAACCATTACTAAAGGCCTTTCCACATTCAATACATTCAAAAGGTCTCTCTCCTGTATGAACTCTCTGATGCTGAGTAAGATGTGCAATCTGGCTGAAGGCTTTTTTACATTCTTTACACTGATAAGGTTTCTCTCCAGTATGAACTCTCTGATGTTGAGCAAGGTGTGCATTTTGGCTGAAGGCCTTCCTGCATTCTTTACATTCATAAGGCTTCTCCCCTGTATGTATTCTTTTGTGTTGAGCTAAGTTTGCACTCTGGCTGAAAGATTTCCCACATTCAACACACGCATAGGGTTTCTCTCCAGTGTGAATTCTCTGATGGAGAGTAAGGGATGAGCTCTGATTGAAGACTTTCTCACATTCATTACATTTCAAAAGTTTCTTTTCCACATAAACCTTCTTGTATTTCATTTCAACAGATTTTTTCCGGTAACTTCTCTTTTGTGACTCATGTTTACATCCTCTTTCTTTTACAGGGAAACTCTGTTGTACATCTAGTATTGAAGTCGGTTGGAATGTTTGCCAAGACTTACTACATTCATTACTTTGATCTTCAGAGAGGATTTCTTTATGAGTGATGACCACCTGACTAGAATGTACTGCCTGACTTCCCAACTTGTTTTCAAACCAGTCCTCACTTTCACAATTTTCTTTTAAATTGGGGTAATCAAGGGTGTAAATAAGATGGCTTCTTTCCATTGTCACTACTTTGGCTGATTCTTCATTAATATCTTGCTCTGATGAAAATTCACTGGCTCTAAATATAGACTCCCAATCTAAAAAGATATTAAGAAAATAAATATGTGTTGTATTTATTGATTATAAGATAAAAAACTTCTAAAACAAAATTAGAAAAATAAAATACAAAAGTTTAAGGATTTGACAGCTTTTAAAGCAGTCTAAAAACTAAGATTACAAACAAAAAGGGCTAAGAAAAACTGATTTAGGAAGTAAGTTAATCATATATAAGCAGTAAACTATATCAGAAAAGCACAAAAAAATTGAAAGGTTGTCTAAAATTATCATTTTATATTTAAGGTAGCTATACAATCTTCCAACACCTTTCCTCTCTTGTTGCAGGTTATCCTGCATTCAACTTAATTTAATTACCTTTAAGAAATAAAATTTTAAATTAATAATATATAACCAGTATAATACTTTTCCATTGGACCCCCAGACCTAAAAACATATCAGAATGCACATGAAACTCTCTGGTTAAACTTCTGCAGTTGCAGAAAGTTCTTCATGAAAATCATTTCCTACATGATAAATTCCAACTAAACATAAACTTCAACTGGCCCCTCAAGTTAATTTTGTATCAGACACCTTGCTTTTATTAACACAGAATTAATCTTCTGGCTTCCATTTTTCAGTCCCAAATCAGAGCACTTCCTTTTTTTTTCTTTTCATTTTAGTACTGAAGATTAAACTAAGGGCCAAGGGCCTTGCACATACTAGGCAAACATTCTACCACTGAGCTACACCTCTAGCCCTTTGCTTCTTGTTTTAAGATAAGATTTTGTTAAACTGCCCAAGATAGGTGGGATTATAAAAATGCACCATTAGGCCTGGCTTCAGATCACCTTATACTTGCTTCCACCACTTTAGCCAAATGGGTACTCGTTTTATGCCCACTTTAAGAACATTACATTTGCTTTTCTTTGTCTGGAAGGCCTATGTCTCAGTATCTGCTTACCCAATCCCATAATGCCCTTCTTCACTTGAGGTTCTACTTACAAATTCTCTCTTCACTATGACCTTCCTTGATCACCCAATATAAAATTGTACATATTTATCATTCTCCATCCTTCTACCTCACTTTTATTTAACATATTATATGCTAATTTACACTCTGTCCTCACCAGACTATAAACTTTCATGCACAGGAACTTCTTTTTCTTTTTTACCTTGGACATGCATTGTCTAGAAGAGGTTGGACATGTAGAAGGTGCTTAGTAGCTACAGAATAAATAATGAACCAATAACATGAAATATCACAGTAACTCATTTTCTCAGAATGATTTGCTTACATAAATTGAGTAAATGGCTAAAAATAAATGGAATATTACCACTAAACTAGATATGATACCTTAGAGCATGAAATTGAATAGAAAAAAATACTAAAGACAATATCCTTTGAGACTCTAAATCCTGCCTCAGTTCTCTTTCAAACTCCAATCTCCCCTCTAATGAAACAATTAAGATCATATTCATGAGGATCTCCTGGAATGTCAACATGAAAATGAAATCCTGAAAGCTCATTGGTAGAAAGTATGAAATGACTGCAAGGTAGCATTGAACCTAGTTAAATGAAAATTTAGTTGCTAAAACAGTGACAAGAAGGTACAAATACAAATACAGTCATTCCTAATATTCTCATTAGACTGAAAAGTTTATATACTAAAATCATTATAACAATGATTCTCAAATTTTATTTTTTATTATTTATTTAATTTTTGTCTTTTTGAGACATGGTCTTGCTATGCAGTTCAGGCTGGCCTTGAGCTCACTTTGTAGCCTAGGCTGGTCTTGAACTCGCAAACATCTTCCTGACTCAGCCTCCCAAGTGCTGGGATTATACGAATGCAATACCATCCCCGGCCTTGATTCTCAAATTTTAGAGTACATCAGAATTATCTGAGGAACCTGTTAAAATAGATTACTATGCCCCAGGGGCTGGGGATTTAGCTCAGTGGCAAAGCGCCTGCCTGGCAAGTGCAAGGTCGTGAGTTCGATTCCCGGTATCGGAAAAAAACTAAAAAAAAAAAAAAAAAAAAAAAAAAAAAAAAAAACCAAAATAGATTACTATGCCCCATGCACAGAATTCTAATTGAGTAGGCCTGAAATGAGGTTAAACAACCTCTATTACTTTTTTATTTTTTATTTGTTGTTTTTTTTTCTGGTATCAGGAATTGAACTCAGGACCTTGTGCTTGCCAGGCAGGTGCTATGCTGCTGAGCTAAATCCCTGGCTCCATTTCTTTTTTTTAAAAAAAATGTTTATTAGTATATGTTTGTGATACAGAATGAATGTACTCATCATGGGGAGAATCTACATTTTTAGTGAGTCCCCAGGGGATGTTGCTGGTCCCAGACTATATTTTTAGCACTACTGTCCAACAGTAGCCACTGAAAGGTTAATATAAAAATGTATATCTAAAGTGTTCCAAAATGAATAAAAATTCTAAAAAATATTCTAAGAAGTCAAAGAGATAGATAAGAAAGAGAAAAGAGGCAGATATGGTGGCACATGCCTATAATCCCAGCCCTCCAAGGGCTGAAGCAGGATGACTGCTACAAGTCCAAGGCCTTGGGCTACATAGGGAGTTGAAAACCACCCTGAATTACACAATGAGATCCTATCTCAAAACACCAAAAAAAATGGGGGGGGAGCCTTCATGTACAAATAAAAGAGTAATGAAAAAAACAATTTAATGGCAGATTCAAATAAAATTACACAAATAATTATAGATGAGTATCTCTTATTCAAACTGGCACGAAGAGTTTTGGATTTCAGATTTTTTTTGTATTTTGAAATATTTGTATATACATACAATGAAATCTCTTAGGAATGGGCCCTCAGTACGAAACACAAAATTCATTTATTTATTCATTTTATTGTTATTATGTTTTGGAGATTGAATCTTGCTATGTAGCTCAGATGGCTTTGAATTTTCAATCCTCCAGTCTTAGCCTCTAAAGTGCTGGGATTATAGCTGCGTGCCACCATGCTCAGCTCTTTATTTTTGATTCATATATACCTTATACATACAAAATAGATGTAATTTCATACAATATTTTAAATAATTTTACAGCTAAAACAAGTTTTATGGTGTGAAATGTTCCACTTGTATCAGAGTTTCAGGGTTTGGAGCCTTCCAGGTTTTTGGATTAGGGATGCTCAAACTGTGTATTAAATACTAATTGACTAAATATCCACTTACAAGGTAGTGAATGGATAAAAAAGGAAGACCCAATGCTGTCCACAGAAAACTCATATTAAATATGAGGATACAGTGCAAATAAATAATAACTAGATACATAAAGATGCACCATGCAAATTGTAAGCATCAGGCTAGAGTGCCTATATTCCTATCAGATAAACTTCAAAACAAAAGTACTGCCAAAGACAAAGAGAACATACCATAATGATAAGAGGGAATTCATTAAGAAGAAATAATTACTAATATGTATGCATCTAATACAGAGCCTCAAATAAAAGAAAAATTTGCAGTGTAAGTAACAAATAGGTAACTCCATAAATCATACTAGGTAACTGTAATATGAGATGCTCAGCAACTAACAAAACTAGATAAAAAGTAATAAATATATAGAAGATCTTAACAAGATGAATGATGCTGATGTAATTTATATTAACAGAACAATATGCCTAACACTATACAACATGTATTCATGTGTGATCAGTAAGACAGACCATATGCCAGGCCATAAGTCACATGGCAATAAATAAAAGTACTGAACTCAAAGAGAGTATGTTCTTCAACTTCAACAGAATTAAATAAAAAACAAATAATGATGTCTAGTAAACTCCAAACACCTGCAAATTAATCTATTTCTCTATAATTCATGGGTCAAAAAATTTTACAGAAGCAATCAGCAAATATCTTGGAGTGACTGATAATGTAACATCAAAATTTCTTGGATATAGCTTAAATAGTACTTAAAGCTAAGTCTGTAATTTTAAAATGCTTATATTACACAATTAAAGTACAAAAATCAATAATCTAAGGTGCCACTTCAAGAAGGAAGGAAAAGATCAAAATAAATTCAAGGAAAATAAACAGAAACAAAAAAGCTAAGTAGAGAAAATAACAAATTAGAAAACAATCAACAGAGAAAATAAATGGTAAGTAGGTTCTTTTAAAAGATACCTTATCAAGAAAAAGCGGGAAACAGAAATCAGCAACATCAAAACTTAATGAGAAGTTATTACACATCTTATAGACATTGAAAAGATAAGAATATTACAAACAACTCATTAATAAATTGGGCAACTAAGACAAATGTACACATCCCTTAAAAAAACAGCCTATCAAAGCTGATCCAAGACAAATTAGATAACTTGGAATAACTATCCAGTAAACCTGTTACATAAAAAATACTAATTGGCACAGATGTCCTCACTGGTAAATTCTACCAAAAATTCAAGGGAGAAATAATAGCACTCTAGGCAGCCAGGTGTGGTGGCGCATGTCTGTAATCCCAGCACTTGGGAGGCTGAGGCAGGAGGATCACTGTGAGTTTGAGACCAGCCTGGGCTACAAAGTGAGCTCAAGGCCAGCCTAAACTGCATAGCAAGACCCTGTCTCAAAAAGACAAAAAAAAAAGCACTCTACCTCTCACAAAACAAAACAAAAAAACACCATTTGTTTTCATGAGGCCTGCATTATCTTGATACTGAAGCCAAGTAAAGAAATTACAAGAAAATAAACCCGAAGACCAATGTAGCATATAAGCGTGTAAAAAACTTACAAAACTGTGGCATATCCAGGAATATATTGAAAGCATAATCTTGACCAAATAGAATTTACCCCATCAGTATGGTTTACATAAGAATGTCCTCCCAAATCTTCATGTGCTTAAAGTTAAGGCTTTGAAAGATGATTAGATTATGGGGTTTATAGCTGGCTTGCTGTTAGGAGGTGGGACCTGGTGGGAGGAAGTGGGTCACTAGAGGCATGGCCTGGAAGGGTTTATTTCCCTTCTTGCCTCAACCCTTCTCACTCTACCTCCTGCTGCCATGCAATGAAATGTTTCTCCTTTTGTTTGCCATGCCCCACTATCTTGGAGCCATCTGACAATGGACTAAAACCACTACAAGCTGTGAGCTAAAATAAATCTCTCTTTATCTTGTGGGTGTTGGGTATTTTGTCCCAGCAATGAGAAAAATATGATACTATGAATACAAGATTGGTTTCATACTTGAAAATCACCAGTGCAATTCACCATATTAACAGAGTAAAGAAAAAAATCACAGGATCCTTTCAATAGATGTACAATGACTATCTGACCCATTTATTATAAAAAATAGAAAGGAATTACTCTAAGTTGATTAGACATCTAAGAAAAATCTATAGCTTAATCAAGATAACAATGGAAGATAAAATATGTTTTTTCTTAAGATTGGTACAATACAAGTATATTTGTTCTACCACTTCTTTTCAACATTGTATAGGAGGTGCTAGCTATTGCAATATATCAAGAAAAAAGAAGGCAAGGATCAGAAAGGAAAAAAGAAAACTGTACAAAAAATCCTCAGGAATCTACTAAACAACTGCTAGAACTACTACAAAATGTATCTAGCCCAGTCATAAGATACAAAGTTAACATAAAGATTGTTTTACATTTTTTGCATACCAGCAGTAAACTACTGTAAAACGTAATTCAAAAAATTCTATGTGTAATAGCACTCCAAACTGTAAGACTCTGGAAAGAATGTGTAAAAGACATACAACACCACTATATTTGCTACTTTAAAATATTCCTAAGAGAAATAAAAGAAACCTGTAATAAATGGCTTATACCATATTCACAGATTAGAAGAATCAATGTTGTTAAGATGTCAATCCTTCCCCAAATGATGTGTAAATTCAACATAATCCCAACCAAAATCCAAGCTTTTAAGTAGAAATTCTCAATTTCATTCCAAAATTTATATCAAATACAAAGCGATCTAAAATAGTCAAAGCAGTTTTACAAATAGCACCATCTGATATCAAAATTTACTATAAAGCTACAGTAATCAAGACAGTGTGGTTCTGGAGAAAGGATAGACATGTGAATCAATGCAACGAAACACAGTACAGAACCAGAACCACACAACACATGTATTTAACTATTTTCAGCAAAGGTACTAATACAAAGGGGAAGAGACAGTCTTTTCCAACAAAGGGTAATGAAGAAACAGTATATTCATAATGGAAAAAAAATGAGCCTCAGTCTTTAGCTCATAAAAAACATCAAAATTAGCTCAAAGTGGATCACAGACCTAAACGTAAAAGCTAAAACAATAAAACTGCTAGAAGAAAATCTTTATGACATAGCTGTAATGACAATTTTTAAAAAATAATAGAATTTAAGCAAAACAAATATTTCTTAGATACAAGCACTGACCAAGACAAATTAATAAATTAGATTTTATAAAAATTGAAAGCATTGGTCCTATCAAAGATAGCAGCAGAAAAACAGACAAACCAAAATTGGCACACATATATTCCAGTGTGTATAAAATGAAAACAGCTTGTTTGAAACCTATTCAGAACTCTTATAACTCAAAAAGACAACCCAATAAAATACACGCAAAGATTTGAACAAACAGTTCATGAAAGATACATTTATGGCCAATAAACATATAGAAGGTACTTGTCATATTATTCAACACAGAAATCCTTTTTAAAACCACAAAACAAACTAAACATAGTGGTACATACCTATAATCCCAGCACTCTGGAAGGCTGAGGCAGGAGGATCACAAGTTCACCCCAGCTTAGGCAACTTAGCAACTTAGTGAGACCATGTATCAAAATAAAAACAAAACAAAGCAAAGCAAAATACAAACAATAAAAAGGGCTAGGGATGTAGATCAGTGCAAAGGCCCTGGGTTCAATCCCCAGCATTGTAACCAACCAACACAAAAATGAAAGAACAAATGACAAAGGAACCATTAGAATGACTAAAATTTAAAATAGTATTTATTGACAATACCAAGATTAGATGAGGGCACGAAGCAGCTGGAATGCTCACACATCACTAGAGATAATATAAAATGGTATAATCCCTTTAGAAAACCAGCAGTTTCTTACAAAACTGGCCATGTAACTACCATATGTTGAATTTAAACTGAATTTAGAAAAATTAAAATATATGTCTACATAAAGTTCTACACATGCTAGCTTAATAGCAGCTTTATTTACAATAGCCCCAAACTAGAAACAACCACATGTCTATGACTATATTTATCTATTCACAGTGAATACTATTCAGTGGACTACTACTCAGCAATAAAAACAATAATCTATTCAAACATGTACCAGTGTGGATGAATTTCAAAATCATCATGCTAAGTGAAACAAGCCAAATATAACATAAGCCACATTGTATGGTACAATCTAATCTAAAATGAGAGAGATCATTTGGCTGGATGAAATTGGAGGTGGAGAGAAGGACAGACTGTAAATGTGTGATGGTTTCATGATGATAGGGCAAGAGAGACTTCATTTTCTTCTTGGAACTCCACTTTAAGAGAAGTCACTTAAAGTTCACTTAAACTGTAATTAACCTCCCTCACCTTGGTTAGTCATAAACCAGAATAGAGTTATAAAATGGGAACAGAACAAACAGGACAAATTGGGAAGCAGGCTAAATTTTAAACCACAATGGTCATCTGGAATCAGGCTGACCAATGTTGGGAAGGTAAACCTTGTGATAATTGTGTGACATTCTTGTAAAATTCCCAAAAATGAGGTAATGGTTACTATGGAAACCTAAAAATGTACTTAAACCAAAGGTGAGACCCAGATCAGGGTGGATATTTTCTCTGATTCCTGGTCAGAAACTGTCCATCAGCTAGCTCGCCAATAAACCTTTGTTTGTTGCTGCCTTTTCTGTCTCTTGTGAGTCTCTGTCTCATTAGACTCGCTTGCCATATCAATGAGTGTATGCCAGCGTCAAAATTCCTCAAGCTACAATTTATATAGATCCAGTTTACTCTCTAAATATTCTTTGATGTTAACTTTATCAGATCAACTACAATAAAACAATCTGATCAAAATACAGCAAAACCAGAATAATATCTTTTAAACAACTCTTGAGTAAAGGGTAAATTTAAAACTGTAGATTATATAAGAAACAGCAATAATGAACCCATACGAGACAGGTGAAGAAAGAAGAAAATTCATAGCCCTTAATAATTTTATTGCTGAAAAAAAGAATTAAATTAACTATTAGCCTTTCTCTTCAGCAATATGTACAATGAAATAAATGAGAAAACAGAAGGAAAGAATAAGAAAATAAGCAAAAATAATTGAAAAACAGAATGTTAATAGTAACAAGATAAATCCCTAAGTTAGGTCTTGAAAAATAAGTAAGTAAAACTGATTTATGAGTTGTAGCCTAATACATTCTTTCAAAAATAATAACTATATAAATAAGAAATTAAAATTTAGAACTATTATAAAAAAGTACACATAATTATGAGATCACTTTGTTCAATGGAAATAAACCTGATAACCTAAATGAAAAGGATACTTATCTAGGAAAATTAAAATGCTAAAACTTAAAGACATAAACTATAGAGAAGTAATTTATTTGCCATGGAGGACGCTGAGAAAGTTGTCCAAAGATCTACTTTCCCACAAAGCCCTCAGCATCAGTCTGTACCTCTTAAACTCTTAAAACTGGTGATATGCATTTCCATTGACATCTCTAAATCAGAGTTCTTCTCTAAGCCTCTTTTTCTCAGTTTCATTGTACATTGCATTTCTAGACTTAGAAATCCTCACATCTCATAAAAATAAATTTCTTCTGTTTCCAGCCAATTCATCTATTTTTTTCCCCTACTAATCTACTTTCTTCTGATTGTTTCATTAAATAATATCTTCCTCCAGTTACCAGACATAAAAATAAACTAGAGATGCTTTCTTTTTCTTTGATGGTTTACAAACTTATGAGTAAGTCCAAGAACTTAACAGGATGCTGTGCTTAAAGCAGAAACTCAGGGAAAGAATAAATGAATTATAAATATACTGACCCTTGAATCTGAAAAGAATGAATAATTGGAAAGGGAAAAAAAGTGCAGATTTTTTAAAAAATAGAATGAGTCAACTTGTATAAAACTAAAAGATAAAGACAAGAAAACATTGTGATATTTGAACCCACATAACAGGAATACAGGTTAACAGAGAAGTCAATAATTTGTGAGACAACACAGACAAAGAGAATACATGTATAACCTAGAACCTTTCAGATCAGCTAAGCTCTTTCTGCAATGGTATGTACTTTCCTAGTTCTTTCTCACTCACCAGGGCATATGTCTCTTGTTCCCTCCTTCATCATCCAGGGCTCTTTTCCTTGTTCCAATAATGAGATCACATCTGGCTTAGAAACAGAAATTCCTGCTTACAAGAAATAAAAATGGAATTAGCTACCCCTGAAGATCAGAGCAAGTTATTTGGTCATCAGGAAGATGTGGGCATTGTAGGAGGGAAGAATGGGGAAGATGTTTCAGGAATCATCTAATGAAGCTAACAACTGTGAAAAACTCAATCTATTTTGCAGAGTACAAAAGCTTTTGTTTTTGTTTTTAGAGAAATCTTGCTATGTTTCTCAGGCTGATCATGAATTTCTGAGTAAAGAAAACCTTCTGCCTCAGCCTCCCAACTACATGGGACTACAAGTGGGTACCAATACACCCAGCTTAAGAAAGAGAAATTTAGTTTGGGAAGCAAAGGGGAGACTTCCCAATCATATCACTGGAACACAATCCTTTGTGCAGATTCTGAATTATGGGAAGACCTCCTTACCCAGTGATACCAGGCTCCTATAGTTCTCCAACATCACCTTCCTGTACAAATTCCTCTGCACAGGGTTCAGCCATTCCCACTCTTCTTGAGTGAAATTTATAGACACATCCCCAAATGTGACCAAATCCTGAAATGACAGAAACACATTCTTGTTCAATTAGTGTTCAAGTCCAGACACAGGCCTAGGTTAGAGTGAAACCTCTATACTTTTGAAGAAACATCTTGTATGCAGCAAAAATTTCAGGCAGGATCCAAAGTATGTCAAAGAACTGCTAGAAGATTTCTCTGGCTCATCCTGATATTCTGTTATAAGAAATATACAGTTTCAAGGAGAATTATGACTGGTAAAGAAAAGACATAACACATATATGCACGAAACGGCAATAACTGAACACTTTAACCATCAAATATAAAATAATAGGTTATTCACACTGAATGCCTCAGCATTTCTCAATTTGGGGAAATCAGGATATACTGGGGCAGTAAAGAAGATTATTACATAACAAGTAACGAATGTATATTATCTTAAAAGTAACCACTATGAGATTTATAAAAATTATGTATAATTCATAAGAAAATAGGGGAGATACCTGATTTATCCAAAAGAAGGCAAAAAGGAGAAACAAAAGGATAAAAAGCAGATGGCATAAGTGGGAAAACCCCACAAATATCATAGTTTTAATATACATCTGTATGTAATAACATTAAACCAAATGTACTAAACACTAATTAAAAGACCAAGGTTATCAGGCTGGATTTTAAAAAGCCAGCCAACTATGTACCATTGTCAGCAACTGCACTTTAAATATATACTTTTTGGGCAAAACTTTTTGAAAGGTATTAAACGTTTTTTGAAATGCATTAAAATTTCCCTGGGAAATTCAATGGGCCATAGCACCAAGAGACTATGATTCGGGAGGCTTAGATGGGGGTCTGGGAGCAGCACTTGGGCTGACAGGCTTGATCTACTCTGTACATCACACCCTGTGTTTTCTCTTCCTCCTTTACCAACTCAGACACAGGAAACAGAAGGTTTATGGGCCCTGCTGTCCTCATTTAACTCGCAGATGAAGAATTCATTCCTTTGTTCATTCATGTATTTATCTGGCAAGTATTTACTGACTGCTACAACTTACTGGACACTATTCTAAGAGTCAGAAATACAAAGCTACAAAATAAAGTCCCTTCCCTTGTAGAGTTAAAATTCTACCAAAGCAGAAACACATCAAAAGTAAGGTCATACCATAGCAGGTAGTATAAAACACTGTAACAAAAAACAACAGTGAAAGGTGATTGAGAGTGCCAGAGGTGTTTACTGTACATAAGACAGTCGAGGTAAGCCTAAATGAAGAAGTAATGGTATTTAGATAAATTGAGAGAGCAAGTCACGCCAATGTCTAGGGAGGAGAATTAACGAAATGGGAGCACATGCAAAAGTTCAGGCAGGGGTCTGGTAAGTTTGAAGGACAGCAAATTGATCAGTGTGACTGGAATGAAGAGAGATAAAGACTTGTGGAAAACAAGGTCTGAGATAGCGAGGAGCTGATGCACACAGGGTCTTACAGGTCAGTGTAAGGGTGGGATTTCATTCCAATAAGATGGAAAGCCAATGAACGTTCTAAACTGGGAATGAAACAGGGTTCCCTGCAGCTTCTCCACAGTTCTTTTCTTTCACCCTCTCCAAATTATCATTCAGTATCATCTATGTTACTGACCCCCAGTGTACAGTACAACTCATTACATCTGATTCAGCCACCAACTGGTAGCATGGATGTGACACGTTCCTCCCTTGATCTCTTTTTCCTCATCTGTGAAATGAACAACTTGGACAAGCTCACCCCGTAATTTTCTTCCTTGTGTTAGCGTTTCATGGATCTGTTCATCCAATACACTGGCTACTAGCTACATATGGCTATTTGAATTTAAATCAATTAACATTAAAAGTTCACTTTGATGCAGATGTGGTGACACATGCATGTAATTCCAAAACTCAGGAAGGCTCGGGCAGGAGGATCACAAGTTTGAGCTTAGTGACTCAGGTAAGACCCTGCCACAAAATAAACAAAATAATAATAATAATAATAATAATAATAATAATGGAGATGTAGCTCAGTGGGAAAGCCTAGCTTTAATCCCTAGTACCACCAAATATAAATCATTTTGTTAGTCACTTCAGTACATACAAGTCTCCATAGCCAGTTATGGCTAGTGGGTACTATATTGCTCAGAGAGGATACAGAACATTTCTATTATCGATCATTACAGGTATAGTGCTGCTCTACATGATATCTGAATCTAGGTTAACCTCCTCTTTATAACCATTCTCTATAAGCAGCTTTTGTGTTTTCAAGAATATTGAGCCTATGGAATCTCTGTGATGAAAAATGTTTTTACTAATTGAATAATCCACCTTTTCACTGCCCATTTAAAATTATTCTAGTATATTATATAAGAAGCAAAATAGTAGATACTAAATTCTGTAAAGGCAATGTCTATTTTTATTTGCCACAGGACTCTGCATGTAGTTGTTTTTAATAACTATATGTTCAATCAATGTTTTCCATTCCTGTAGAATGTTTACACCTGCATTTATTTCTAGACATTATATATTCATTTTTTCATTTGTTTCTTCTAGGTGGTATTCTACACTTAATTTCTTTTTTTTTTTATAGCTTTTAAAAAATGTAGATTCATCTGTTTCCCTCATTACTTTTTCAGAAAATGTCCCTTTTTCACATTAATTCACTAATCTTAATTGGATGACCTAGAATATCATCATTGCGGCCTGCTATTAACTCAGGATGTCCCTAAAATGAACCTCACTACTCTCTCAACTCTTATCCTTCAAAGTTCACAGAGTACCTAGAAGAATCACTGCTTAGCTGACCTACACTTTAATACTCATCCAGATAGATCTCATTCCACAAAATCACCTTGAAAAAGAGACTGTGCTGTAATCTATGATTAAGTCTACCCAGTGGCCCTCCTGTCTTGCCCATGTTTCAAATGCAGGTAATGGAGAGCTCAATGCTAGCATTCACACGAGAACACCTCAACATCCATGAGTCACATTCCCACAAGGAAGGCTTTCATATCCCTTCCAGGCGTCTGTTTTTGCCTCTTGAGAGTTCTTAACCGAGCACTGATCCCATAGGAGGTACTGAACTAATTCTCGAATAGATGAAAAAACTAGCTCGGTAGAAAAAGGAAGTTTGTGGTCTTTTTAGGACTTCCTTTTTTTTTCTGGAATGGAAACCTTTGAGGAGCAAAGTCACTGGATGAGATGTTGTCAGGATAGGAAGTTTAAGAAGAAAAGCAAAATGTTCATGTAACCTGAAAAAAATGGCATTTCAGGGAAGAAAGAAGAAACATTTCTTACCTTGGACATGGCTTTAAGACTTTGAGAATTTATGATGGTTCTGTCCTCCTCTTTCACGTTTCTTTACGGGAGAAGAACAGTATCCTGAGAAAGCAGGGCTGGAGAAGAAAAAAGAAACCATAAAAATGCTAGGTCTTCCCCGCAGCTCCCAGCTTCACAGGCCTAGAAACTCTTTTTTCCTCTTTTTCTTCCCCTACAGAGGTAGATTTGAGGTGTCACTGAATGAAGTCAGTTTAACTGAATTTACAGTCCTTTTCCCCATGTGCTTTATGTCTAAAGACTACAACATATATTTTGTGAATAACCAATCTCCCCATTTATATTTATGAACAGTAACAGCAATTGCAGAATGGTATTATCAAGCAAGGTTTTCCCACCTTTTCATGTGTGAAGGTGTTCCATTGGTGATTACCAAGGTCTCATGGTCATAAATAGTTGAGCCAAACTAGAAACTAGGTCTAAATTTTTACTTTTTCTATGAGATGATGATGATGAAATGAAATATGTCCCCACCCTTTCCACAGAAATGAGAGATAAAGTTATTGAGTGAGTGCCCTAAAAAACATCTTTACACAGAGTATGCATCAGAAGGGCCATATGATCTGGAAGACACTGAACCAGAGTCAGGACACCATGGTCCCAGCTTATAACAAAATGCACCTGAAAACCAAGCCCATCACTTTCCTGAGCAATTTCTTTGGGGGTAGGGTGTGTGTGTGTGTGACAGACACAGGGTATACATGAACACTCATCAGAACCATTAACCATGAGTTCTTTTCCTCTGGACTTTACTGTTTTGAAGAATAAAGCATTGAGTAGGAGCAACACAGCCTAGTGGTAAGACACCCTAGTTCTGGGGATGACCACCTAAGTTCAGTCAGACCACCATACACACTCAAACTCTGTTCACAGCGTCACACCCTGATCATGTTCCCCACCATTACACCTCCTCAATGCCTCCGTCTCAGAGAGTAACACAGTTTCACACATACAGTAGTGGCAGGGGCTGTCAGTGTCGCATGCACCTCCTGCAGCTTCACTGTCACGGGGTTGCTCACACATGATGGCAGGGTCTCACGCTGGGACATTCTCAGTCTCACATACTGTCACAGGCTCCACACACAGGGTCTCACATTGTCACACAGAGAGTCATTTCCACAGCCTTAGTCTCACGCAGTGCTCACAGACGGTCTCACACTGGCATGATCGCATCGTGTTACACAGTCACATGCGCTGTTTACACAGTTACACACTGCGGCACGGTCTTGCACTGTCACAGGTCCTCCCCACTGTCACGGTCACAAGGGCCTCCCACGGCCACACAGACGGTGGCATGCTCCCACACGGTCACAGATCACACGGTCTCTCCGGCAGTCACAGTGTCACGTTTTCACACCATCCCATGGGTCTCTCTCCCGCTCTCACACTGTCACAGGTGACACGGTCCTCCCCGCTGCCACACACCGTCCCATTTTCACACGGTCAGTCTCCTGTGGTCACGCCAGGTGGCACGGTCTCACACCGTCACACAGTTACATTTCCACACCGCCCACGTTTTCCGCGGGCTCCCTGGGTGGCTCGCCTGTCCAGACCCCGGGCACCCGCGGGTCCTCACCGCCTCCCCTGCCGCAGGCCCGAGGTCCGGCTCCTCAGGCGCCGGCCGCGCTCACAAAGGCACCGCGCGCCCGCGCCGGCGGCCAGGGCCGCGCAGAGGCCGCTGGGAAGTGGAGTCCGACACGGGGCGACGCGCGCCAGGCCTGCGCGGGCTCCTTAGACTGCGCAGGCGCAGTGGACTCGCCCAGACAGTGGCCGGTTGGTGGCTTGTCGCGACGGGCTGTGAGCGCATGCGTAGGGCCAGCCACACTGGGCAAAGGCGCTGGCTGCACAGCTTTGATTAAAGGTCCCTCCCCCTTTGTGTGCCTTATGTTTGTTCTCTGCCTCACCTTTTCTTTCTTCATTTATTGAGGGCTTGCAGTGTGTCAGGCACTGTTGTGAACTCTGGAAACAACACTGGAGAAGCAGACAAAATTTCTGACCTTCTTAGACCTAACATTCTTAATCCGAGACTTAAATTGAAGAAAATGATACTGATTTATATATATTATATATATATTTAAAATTTTTACTGATAACATATTCTAGTAGTTGTTTTGAGACAGAGTCTCTGTATATTTCAGGATGGCCTTGAACTCACTGTGTCGCCCAGGCTTGCTTTGAACTCCCTGAGATCCTCCTGCATCAGCCTCCCGAGTGCTGGGATTATAGGCATGCACCACCACTCTCAGTTAAACTGATACACATTATAAAGGAAAAGGGTATTAAGATCATGCAGTTATTTGCTATCTTTTCCATTATTCAACCCTTGTTTGAAAATATTTTATAACAACTCATATCCTTAGACTTAACTACCATTCATATTGTAGGAAATTGGTTGTCTTAGGAAATTTGTCTCACCAAAGTCACCAATGATAAGCATTATATAAACTGAACAATTTTACCTTGGTATACAAAATAATGTAGTTATATTCACAAAGATAACTAAAACATGATGAAACAAACAAATATGGCTAAAAGGAGAAATGGTCAAATAAGTAACAGTACAAAACTATACAACTTTTAAAACAAACATGTGTGACAACTGTCAAAATGCTTTTGGGTTACTTTATTTTAAAGGTGAAACAAACCTGTTACACTTGTATTAAGACTTCAGTCCCAGAGAACTGTTCCTGAGTGTAAAAAGAAACACAATCACAAAAATTGTAGTTGATTGTTTGATTGTTGAAATTATGAACATTCACTTTTCGGATCAGACCCACAAACTTTAAGGTAAACTTCCAGAGTTTTTTAGGCTTTTCTGCACTTCAAAAACATATAAAGATAGGGGCTTCTTTACACTTAAGAAGTTGGATTGTAACATTTTAATTAATTTATTTATTGTTTCTTGAGACAAGATCTCAAGTGTCATACCTGGGGACCTGAAGAGGTACTTTGGTAGGTGAGATCCCCAAGGAAATGTGGGGAGTGGCTGAAGACGGAGAATGATCATACATGCAGGGCGGAAGCAAGGCTGGACTGAGAACAAACAGTGCCTGAGGCAAGCCAGGTGAACAAGCTGCTCCAGTCCAGAGACCACCAGACACCCAAGGCAATCCAAGCAATTGGTTGCTAGGCAGAGGGGTGTCAGGTGACATCAACCTACCCAATGTATAAATAAACACACTACAGTGGGTAAGCAGCTCCTTTTCCTCCCATCTGATCCCACCTTTCTCTATCTTGTCTTCAACTCTTCACCTTCTTGCTCCCATTCATGGTCCTTACCCTGGGAAGAGAGCTGTGCTGGCTGTGACAGGGAAAAGAATGCACTTTGGGTAGACATCAGTTCAAAAGGCAGGTGGCAGCAAGAGAGCAGGCTGTGTCTTTATTATTTTATTATTTATTTATTTATTTATTGGTACCGGAAATCAAACTCAGGACCTCAGCCTTGCCAGGCAGGCACTTGTGCGGCTGAGCTATATCCCCAGCCCTATTGTTTTATTTTTATACAGGTAGTTATCTCATATTTACATTCTTTCATGTTGAGTGAACTAGCACATTCACTGTTGTCTACTGTTAAGTGACCCTTGTGTAACTGTTCCTCAGTCTGTGCCTGCAGTAGATAGCAGAGCTGTGTCCTCACAGTTGGCCAGAGGCATCCTTACCCACCCCTTGACCCTTGCAGCCTGAAGGAGTCTATCTGGAACGGTACCTGACACTAAGGCTAGCCTTGAACTCAGTAGCTCAGGCTGGCCTCAAATTCACCGTGATCCTCCTGCCTCCGCTGCACTGGTACTGGGATTAGAGCTGTGTAACACTACATCTGGTTTCGACTGTAACATTTTTTCAACCATTATCTCTAGTTTCTTCTATTGGCAGAATCTTCTACAAAGTTTAATAAGCCACTAAATGAGTTGAAATTACTTTAATTCCATTAAAAACCACATTTATTCTTCTTAAATGGATAATCAGCAGATGTCTGCCTACCATATCAAAGTTTATTGAAATAGTCTCTGCAAAATCTTGAGTTGTACAGGTAACACATGGAATCCACAGAGAAAGCCCTATTAAAAATATTTTGGCTTGCAACTGCATAAGGAAGTGTCAGGACTTCTTGGGTTTTCCGTGTACCCTGGGAAGGAACAGAGGTGGGAATGAGGAAGAGACAAATGAAAGACAAATAGCCGGGTCAGGTGGAGATCTTCCCTCTCTTAGGCCAAGGAGAGGAAGTGCTCAAGAACAGTAGAGCATTTATTTATTCCCTCGAGAGGTTGATATTAATTTCAGCCTCTCTATCCAGCCATTAGTTAACAAGCTGAAACAGCACGTTTACAGGCTTCAAGGCGCTCCCGTGTTCTTGGGCTGGCTTCATCCTGCATGCATTAATTACTTTGTAGCTTCAGCTGCTCCCAATAAGATGCAATATGTTTAGTCACAGGTTAGTATTGGAGGAAATTTAAGCCTGTAATCCATTTTGAACTATCCTCATCCCACTTTTGGCTACAGATGTCCAGTTTTTCTAGCACTGTTTGTTGAAAGACTACACTTCCTCCACTAAATTGTTTTTATACCTGTCAAAAATCAGTGGAAGCTGGACTTGTAGCATTCTCCTATTTTCCTAGATCTTTGAGAGGTTGAGACAGGAGGACTGCACATTTAAGATCAGTCTGGGTAATTTGGCAGTTTAGTGAGACCTTAAAGTATCAGTGCAAAAGTCTTGGGTTCAACTTCTAGTACAGGGAAAAAAATTAGTGGAGATAGCTGATAAGAACTTGTATCTAGAACACAGAAAAAACACTTAACAATTCACTAACAAAAATACAAATCTTGTGATTACAGGTGTCAAGAAAGCAATTACAGAGCCATGAAATAGTTACAGAGCTAGGCAGCTTCAAAGAGAACAAAGTTTTTAAAAGAGCAATTTTTCCTTGTACAGTTTTTCCTTTTCAGTGGTAGCTCACTCTGTGTCTTTTGGACCAAGGAGTACTTTTATTTTTGCTTTTTCTCCTTTCCTCTTCTGTTTGTCCCAAGTTCATTCTGTAGAGCCAGTTTTTTCCTTATCCCGTCACCCCTCACCCTTCAAATAAACTTTTGGCACTGCTTTTGGCTTCTCTCATTCAATTGTTTGAGGAAAGAAGGGCCTGTAATATTTTTAACTAGCAAGCCATTTCTAAAGGAATTACCCTATAATAGTGGTGCACACCTGTAATTCCAGCACTGAGGAGGCTGAGACAGGAGGCCTGTCACAAGTTTGAGGCCAGCCTGGATTACATAGTGAGTTCAAGGCTAGCTTGAACTATAAAGTAAGACCCTGTCTCAGAAAGCCATAGGGAAAAAAAAAATACAAATAGCACATTTTTTTTAAATGGACAGTGGACTTGAATAAAGATGTCTCCAAAAAAGATATATAAATGGCTTACAGGTACATGAAAGGCAGGTGACATCACTAGTCACTGGGGAAGAGCCAGGGAAACCACTATGGCACATCACTTCATGCCCATTAGGATGGATAGAATATAAACGATAACAAGTGCCAGCAAGGATGAAAAGAAAACGGAACCTTCCACATTGCTAGTGTGAATGAAAAACGATGCTACTTTGGGAAACATTCTGGAAGGTCCTCAAGAAATTGAACACGTGGTATGTTAGTTTGCTGAGGTTGCCGTAACAATACCACAGACTGAGTGTCATCGCAACAGAAATTTATTTTCCTGCAGTTCGAAGGCTGGAAATCCAAGGATAGGTGTCAGCAGCTTTAGTTTCTCCTGAGACTTCTCTCCTGTGAGACCAGAGGAAGATTAAGGCCTACGTGGCTTTGTCTGTGAGCCCAATGAGAAAAGCATCATGTCGGGATGATGGCAGTTGCAGTTCTAGGGTACTAAGTTTATATAGCTGAGATTAAGTTGTTTACTTGGACATGTACTAAATGGATATTGGAAGACAGATGAGCTTTGTGTTACTTGAATTACTTGTATCCATGTCTGGGTGAATAAAGGGAAGCTGAGCCTGCTCAGGGCTCCTCTACCTTACAGAAAAGAGCCCCCTGGCTCCCTGTAGGAGAGGTCTGCTCTGTCATTCATCCTCATTTGCCCTTGGGTCATGGGAACAAAGAAAGTAGTAGGATTAGCTCTCTACTTGTAGTTCCCTGGTGGGGAAAGCTCAGAGGAGTGGGCTGATTCCTCACAGGTGCTGCCTGGGAAAGGGACCTGGGACTGATGGTACAGGCCAGTCTCCAACACTCTTAGAATTCTCTCTTCACATGGTTCATCTCTCCATGTCCACACATCCAGGCTGTCCTTGCTTCTTATAAAGACCCCAGTCTTAATGAATTTGTGACACCCTAACAGCCTCATTTTAACTGACTCACATTAAGGACTATTTCCACATACATTACATTCTGAGTTATTGGAGTTATTCAGTATATGAATTGAAGGGGGGCATTCAGTCCATATGCCCCATTCCTGGGTTACCGTATGACCCAGGAATTCCAATTCTAGCTGTATAGCTAAGATAGTTTTTAGTTCAGGGAAGTGTTGGCCAATTTTTGTTGAATTTAATCTTGACACTCTCTGAACTCAGTCACTTCTTCTAGGAACATTTGGTTTGTTTTTGTAGATTTCTTCAGATTTCCTTTGTGGACAATCATATCTGCACATAGAAAGTGTTTTATTTATTCTCTTCTGATTTGCATTCATTTAAAAAAATTTTCCAGTATGTTGAATACAGTGGTGAGATAAAGTGCCTCATCAGTATTACAGGTGAAGCATTCCATCCTTCATTAGTAAGCCTGCTGTTAGCTGTAGGTATTCTGTGGGTAAGGGGAAGCTGCAAGGATAGGAGGCCATGAAAGCCACAGCAACCTGTTCTCCTAAAAATAATGTGAGAAAGGTAGATATTTGTGAAGGAACAATAATGTTCATTCTGTCCTCCACAGTCAGGGGTATCTTGCCCCGAGATGCTGTCTACTAAGCTCATTACTCTAGATTTTTGCCCCTTCTCTGGCTCCACTTAATGACATCCAAGGGAACTTGGACCATGCTTTGCGAGGTTGGGTGTTTAGTTTTGTAGATGCTAGGGAAGAAGTCTACCACTGGCTCCATTTAATGACATCCAAGGGAACTTGGACCATGCTTTGCGAGGTTGGGTGTTTAGTTTTGTAGATGCTAGGGAAGAAGTCTACCACTGATCTACACCCCCAGCCCTAGATGTGATCATTCATGGCCTCTTTCCTCTAGCACCAGACAATTATTTCTTTTGCTGATTTCAGGTCCAATTAGGTGCTCTGCTAAGTATGTGTGTGTAGTGGGTGTGGGAGGCAGAGGCGTGATAGTAATGCATGCTGGGTTTGAGAATCTTTTTGCAGATGTATATGTTAGGTGCTTCTCTGAAAATATATTTCTAAAATTTGAAATATGGAAATACAGTATTTTGAAGGTGCTATGGTCTGAATGCCCCACTATGCATATGTTAAAATCTAAACACGTTCCCACTGGCTTCATATTTCAAGGACCTTCTATGCAAGGAAGGCAGACTTGTACCCAAATCAGTACCTTAGAAACAAGAAAGTTATGAAATGCTAGAAAAATTGCTTTGGCAGCAGAAATATTAAACTACAGCTCAGTGTCAAACACAGGATGCAAAGTATAACCAATTAGGTCTTTTAAATGAAAAAGAGAACTAGTCCCTCATTTACTGAAAACCCTGTAGTTGTTTTTATGAATGTGGCCTTTAGTCCTCATCTCCTTGGTATCCAGGACCCTTTGAGGAGTCTTAAGAAGATGGTAAGAATACTTCTTTGAGACATGAAGGTAGCTAAGCAGGTTCCCTAAATCAATCCATGCCTGAAATCTACTCTATACCTATACTTCTAGCTATAAGGGACAATAAATGCCTTGAGTGTTACATCCAGTTAAGAGCTTTACTCTTATCTCTGCCTTATATTTTGTTGGAGATCACTACAAAGTGGCTCTGAGCAGGATTTAATATTAACCAATTGGCTTTCCATGTTTACTTGTGAGTTGTCTGAAGCTTAGGCATCTTGTCTGGGGATGGGCAGTGGACTCATAGTAAGTAAACCTCTATGAGTCACACTGGTCACCGCTGAGGACTGTAGGGTAAGATAAGGCTACAGCTAAGGATGTTTGGCTCCAACCCCAATTAACTAAAAGGAGACTATAGCTGCAGTCTCCACACTCCTACAATAAATATCAACCTAAAGATAAGGTAGTTCTTCTGATTGACGTAATGTACTACTTGTGAAAATTCTCTCAAGGTCCTGCTCAGATTCCTGCATTTTCTTGAGTATCTCCCTTCTTTGTTTGGAAACCAAATAAATACTGGCCGCCCAGAGAAGTCTTGGTCTGAACCCAGAGAATCTCGAATTCAGTGAGAGAGTTAGACCCTCCTGGAGCCCTACAATCATTTCAACTGTCCCTTCTATTTAAGCCTCCGCCGTCCACTCATTTGGGAGATTGCAGGCCTGATCATCCTACAATAACTAAGAGTTATTCATCTGATAATATTTATGCCATATTTATCCTAATTTATGCTATAACATTGTAGCTAAAAAACAAAACAAAACAAAAAAACATCCTAGGCTGCATCTGAGAGGACATAAATGGAGAAAAGGAACTGAAAGTTCTTGATCTTTTTCTTTGGGTCACCCTTATTATTTATGTGCTCTCCTTACAGTGTATTTTGCCTAGCACAACAGTTTTAGCAGTCTTTTCTCTGGAGCTGTAGTAGTCTTCTGGATTTTTTGAGCCATAATTAAAATATTCTTCCACATATATAGTTTATTATTAAATTCACCTCTGTACACCTTTTGGTACTTGTATGGATTTGGACCTCAGACCAATCTGGAGTTTATTCTTTTCCATGATGTAAGGTATGCATGCATAAAAAGGCAATCTGGTGGATCTCCTGGAATAAGCATCTTTGGAGAAAGAAACCACTAGCTTCATTCACATCATTGTTTATCAGGAGCAGCTGCAACATTACTTTCCATACGTTAGCTCATTTAGTCACCCCAAAAAACTCAACAAGCACTATTATCATTTTCACTTTTTAAATTTTTTGGTACCAGGAATCAAACTAAGGACCTTGTGCTTGCCAGGCAGGTGCTGTGCTGCTGAGCTGTATCCCTGGCACCATTTTCACTTTTAAATGTGAAAATTCAGGCACATTTCTGAGAATGGGCCTAAGGAATTTTTGGTTCCAAAGTTTACACAGTAACTGCTACATCACAGAAGTCACATAGTCTGAGGGAGAGAGGATCAAATCAGGGGGCATTTAGCTTGGATTCTGGGCCTGGGTCAAATGTAGGGAAGGAATCCTCATTCAGAGACCAGGCCTAACAGCGCCTAACCTGCATTCAGGACTTTATACCCTTAAACATACTGGACCACGCTGCCTCAGGATGTGTGAAATACAAGGTTTCTCACACTTTTCCACACGAAAGAGAAAGAACAATTTACCTGTGGCAGGCTGGTCCTATGCCTAGAGATACCACCCCATAACAGGAAACTCCTCTCCAAGTTTTATAATTTACGTTCTCCTTCATAAACCATAGGTCTTACCACATGTATTTGTAATTAATTACCAGACAAAATCTAAGGCTTCTTTCTCCTTCCAATCCTGCTGGTAAATTACTACACAGAGATGGAGATTTAAAGGATGAGAAAACTTCATCGATACACTTTTACATATTCACACAGTTGTATATCCACCATTAGACGGCCCTACTCACTCAACGAGCTATGTCGAGTTAGAACTAAACACCACACACCTCCACAATAACCACTTCATAGGCAGCGACAGTCTCTCACTCAGGGGCAATCGCGCATCAGCGTCCAAGGGACTCGAACTCGTACCACCTGTAGCTACACGAGCCTAGCCCTGGGAAACATCGCGAGATGAGGCATCAGGGTTTGGCCTTAACCTTGCCAGCTGGAGACTACAGTTCCCAGAAGGGACCGCGGTGACTAAGCCATCTTCCGGCTCCAGGAGGCGAGTCAGCCAGTGCTGAGTGGAAGCGCGCCCTGGGCTGCGCAGCGCGGCCGCAGTGCCACCAGGATCTAAAACCGGTAGGTGAGGGGCTCTGGGTTTTCTCTGGCGCTCCGGGATCCCTGCAAGAGCGGCCACCGTGGCCTGGCGAGTTCTGCGCCCGAGATACACTGGGAGGGTCTGCCGCGCGTTAGCGCGCGGCTCTTAGGGCTCTGGACCACACTTCCCAGGGGCCCTTGCGTGCTCCGCCCCGCGCCGCCCTAACTCCTCCCCCCACGGGAGGGTGGGGCAGAAGGGTCCTCGCCCCTGGAATCCCTCCTCATTTGCATGTATTTGCATGTTGTTTGTTTTTTTTTTTAACCTGGAAGGAAGATTTGTTTTCTTTTCCACATCTTCTTTCCTTTTATTGAAAAAAGTTTTAGGAAATGTTAGTTAATAAAAGGCACAAATAAATCATGTCCTTGAGAACATTTGGGGTATTGGTTTGGTGTTCATGCATTTCCTCAGGTGTTCTTTGTTATGGAAGTATCTTATTTCTCCATCAGTTTTGAAAGATAGTTTTGCGGTGTACATCAAACTGGGTTGGAAAGTTGTTTTCTTTTAGGGATTGAAATACTTCACTCCAAGCTCTCCTTGACTTGAAGGTTTGTGTTTGTGTTGAGAAGTCAGCTGTGATTTGGATGGGCTTTCTTTTGTTTTTCTGTAACAGCTCTTCATATTTGTGTATCTTGACTATTATATGCCTTGGTGTATTAAGGTTTGTTTTATGAAGTTATCTAAGAGTTGCAAGACCCCAGAAGTTTAGAGCCACTAGTTTAGAAGCAGAGATTATCCCTGGGGACATTTTAGTTGACCTTGTTGAAGTTGTATGTTCAGTAATGGAGAAGCAAATGAGTAAATCACAGGCTGTCCATGTAGTAGTATACAGTAGTGCTTATAAAAGTGGTCATCATAAGGAAAAACTTCCTATTGTGTGATATTAAGCAACATTCACAAATATATACATCTTAGAGTGAACTATTTGTAACATGGCAGGCCCAGTTCTGCACTCCTTTACAAAGTAATGCTTCCTTAGTGATGAACTCCAGGAGTGGCTAAATGATAACATATGAAATACTTGTTTTCTGTTCAGTTGTGTGTGTGTGTGTGTGTGTGTGTGTGTGTGTATGTATTTTGAGCCATGTTTCAGTGGGCAAGTCTGTTTGACTTCTGTTTATTGTCATACTATGCAAAGGATCTAGTTGTGAATATTTTTCTTTGATATTTACTGTTGTCCAGCATCAGTTTTGATAGTTGTGTGGTGTTTCATTTTGTGGCTGTGCCAAAAATGATTCACTAAACGATTCACTAATTTTGTTCACTAATTTTGTGTTCTGTTCTTAATCAAATGTATGGTGTATAGCTTTGTACGCTGCACTGTCTTTATAGGAGGGCACATTTGTATGCTGGTAATGGAGTCCTGGGCCTGCTCTGTTTACCTTCTCAAATTGTCCCCTGTAATTCCACCCCACTTGCTGACTCATGGTAGACCCTACAGGTAGTGTCCACAAAGCCTCAGATCGGGCTGTGGAGCTCTTTAAATTTGGAAGTTGGGAAAGAGTCAGGTAGACTTTTGAGGATGTTACATTTGATGCCTAAGAGAATTAAATGGCTTGGTCCTGGGCAAGCTTTTATTTAGGCATGGAGCTGCACAAATTATGCAGGCCCTCTATGCTCCCTGACTGAGGAGCACTTTCCTTGTCCTTGAGGGAGCCCGTGGGTCTGAGTCACTGGGACTGGTGTGAGTATCCCAGTCTTGAGATTTGTGTCTGCAGCAAGGCACAACCTGTGGTGCTTTAGGGGAAATGAAGCAGAAAGGACCACTGTTTCCTTGGCAGCAGCTAAAGCTGGTTTCCAGTAGTTGGGTGACAATTACAATTTGTCCCATCTCTCTAATTTGAGGGTTGGGGGGCAGTGAGGTGGGGATTGTAACCTTGGCATTCTGGGAGCTGTGAGGCAAGCCTACCTTCTCATGTGTACTCTCTCTTTCTCCAGCTCTGCAGTTTACGATTCAGTCCATCCCCAGGAGAGGAACCGGGACAAGGACACATCAGCCCTTAAGATTCTAAAAGTCATGTCCCTCGTGAGTTTTAAAATCATGTAAATATTTGTTTTCCTTTTCCTGAAACTTCCCACCGGGGTTCCATCTGTTAATTTGGCTCTCAGAGGTCCCACTTTTAGGGAATAAAAGGAACAGACCGAAAGCTAATCCCTCTCCCCTTGGCTTCTCTGACAAATGCCTGTGGATGTAGCATGCTACATCTCCTGAAATTCAGTCTTGGGCTTGGAGGGCAGATGGAGTAGAGATATATTTCCTATCTGAGATGAGAGCATCCCTGTGGGAAGTGACATTTGAAGATTTGGAAATGACACTCAGGATCACAGGAAAAGGATCACATGGAAAAGCAGGGCTGGTCTCAATTCAGGGAATGGTGCAATATCCTGCTTTGGAAGAGATTGACAGTAGGTGTAATGGAGTCTTAGCTGCGAATCCATGGGAAATTGGATGCCAGAATTAAACTCTAATTTGTGGCTGCAGAACATTTGATTCTGGATCATTCTGCCTTAGCTTCTTGAGTTTAAGAGCAAGAGAAGTGTGGAGCTAAGGATGATAGGCGACAGCAGGTTAGATCACCAGCCTGATAGGTGCAACATCAGAGCTTGCAAGAGCTAGAAATCTGATCCAACCTCTGAATCCAGAATAAGAGGATGTTCGAGTCATTCTTTTCACTTGATAGAAAACTGTATGGTCAACAAAAGTGATCTTTCCTGATTGTACTCATGAAGGAAATATTTGCAGCCACCTGGGAGGTGCAGTCTGTAATCCCAGCACTCTCTGGGAGGCTGAGGCAGTAGGATCACAAGTGCAGACCTAGCCTGGGCAATTAGCAACTTAGGGGGACCTTCTCAGTAAATAGATAGACAGATAGAGAAATAAATTTAAAGAAAAGCAAGCAAGCAAGTCTGGGGATGTAGCTCAGTGCAGAGACCCTGGACTCAATTCGTATAACCACAAAAAGAAAGAAAGAAAGAAAAAGAAATAGATATATATTGATATAATGATAAGCTTAGGTCTTCAGGAACTTCTTGGTTTACATGGAAATCCTGTTCCTAAGATCTTTTTCCAAAGTTTCTTTAAACAAAATATTTGGGAAAAGTCTATCAAGTGTCTCTTGTTATTCTATGAAGATAGAAATAATAGTCTTACCTTAATTGAGAAATTATACACAAGCTCAGTGGGCAGTGTGTTTTATTACAATGTTCCCTTCAGTAAGAAAATGTCCATTTAGTTTTCTAATCTCCACTTCAGACCTGTGCACAAGAGATCTGATTTGCAGGAAGGAGGGTGTTTGAGAATATAAAAATTGTTTTCCTCATGTGCGTTTCCTCTGTCACTTGTTACATTAGCCCCAGCCCTTTTGTTCACAGAGCAGACCCTTCCTGTGAAGCCCTTCTCCAGATCCTTTCATCCCTCTACCAAACATTGGCTTGATTCCTTGAAATACGCATGTCATCCATGCCCTTTGTTTCAGGGGCCGGCGTTGTTCAGGGATGTGGCCGTAGTCTTCTCCCAAGAGGAGTGGGAGTGGCTGGCGCCTGCGCAGAGGGAACTGTACAGGGATGTGATGTTGGAGACATACAGCAACCTGGTTTCACTAGGTAAGGTGATTGGTCTGTTAGTTTGGAGCTTGTCCTGAGCATGTCTGTTCCCCGCTGCTTGGTTCGTGGTGCCTTGCATTGTGGTGACCAGTTGGTCATATGTGAGTGGCCAGAGGGCAGCCCACTGGCTGACGCTGTGTTCCCTTCCTCCAGCCCTTCCTGCAGCTGCCACACCTGCTCGGGGACCAAGTGCTGGAATGAATTCTGGGGCCCTCCGCAGTATAACCAGTGGCGTTTCTTCTCATCTCCAGGTCTTGCCATATCGAAACCGGATGTGATCTCCTTTCTGGAGCAAGGCAGAGAGCCCTGGATGGAGGACAAGGTGACAGCAGGAGGCCTGTGCCCAGGTGGGTGACGCAGCAGTGGCAGCACAGCAGCCCCTGCAGTTACAGGTCAGCCAGAAAGGGACCCTTGCAGTAGAAAATCTTCCCTCCAGGCTGCCAGACGCAGAAGTCCTGTCTTCGTTATCTCCCTTCTCAGCTGATCATTGCCATTGATTTATTTATTTATTTTGGTACTGGAAATCGAACTCAGGACCTCATGCATGCCAGGCAGGTGCTGCACCACTGAGCTAAATCCCTGACCCTGATCAGTAACATTTAACAAAGGTGGTTGCTCCTTCCTCTGAGGAAAGGCCTGAGGCAGAGACCAGCTGAGACCACCAGGCTGGTGTAAAGGCAACACGGCATGGAATGTATTGTGCCTGGGTGCAGGTAGACAGAGGGCGAAAGGCTGTCTGTCTGGAACAAAGAGAAGGGGTTTTTTATAGGGCTGGAAGGAAGGCCAGGGACATTAGGTGGGAAGATCTTAGTAAGCCTCAGTGGTCACAGTGCTCTGGGTGTTTTGTGCCTCAGTGAGCAGACTCCTTGAGGCAGCCAGTGTGAATATGTGGGTGTCTTCAGATGTCTAAGTGTTTGGAAGGTTCCCTGCTCCGTCTTACCTCCTTTAAGAAACTCTGTGTTTGCTGAGGGCACTGGTGCTGAGCTGAGAACAGTGCCTCTGCTTGCAGACAGGTTGGGTACTGGGAGAGTCATATCTGATAAGAGCCTTACACTTCCTTTCTGAAATAACTTTTAAAAAATTCAATCAGTATTTAGGGAGAGAGTGAACACAAATGTGGTTCCTAAGAAAAATATTTTCTCTTTGGAAAGTTAGCTGTGTCTTTTAACCACTTTTCTAAGGGAATGTGTATTGGGTGGATCAGTTTTGGAGAGTCAGCCAGCAGGTGTTTATTGAGCTTTTACGATGCTCCAGAGTATGCCAAGGCCAGGAGGCAGAAATTACCCCTGCCTTTCTGGAATTACAGTGTGAGGAAACACACGCACGCATGCATGCATGCATGTACGTGCCTGTACTGAAGGAAACCATTCAGTTGGGTTGTTTCACAGGGCGGACAGCTTTCAGCTGAGACTTGGCAGTTTCACTGAAGCTGGGAAAACACTTATAGCTGGTGTACATGCAGTGGGTGGCCTTGGTATATCTGAGAGCCTGGATGGCTGCTGGGATCAGCAAGGGCAGGAGGAGGGGAGAAACACAAAAGGCAGCCCTGTGCTGACGCTGGGGTTGTATACTGTGGGCTTCTGGGGCCTGCATGCCAACAGCTGAACTGTGACTCACAGGGCCCTGCACTGAGAATATATATGCGTGTGCTCCTCACAGATTTTTCACCAGCAAGTTTTAAAATAAATTGACAATTCCTCTCATTAGATAGGACTATAATGATTATAAGAAAGTCATTTTAAAAAGCTTTCACTTATTAGCATATTACTATAAACAGGAGCTTTTTCCTTTTCAGTATTTATATATCTGTTCATGTCAAATGTGTTAGTGGAACCATTATCTTTTATCACAATGTTCACAGTTTTTCAGAATCTTCTTTTTTAAGTAGAAAAGGTATGCTCTAAAATAATGATGAAAAGAATAGTACAGTAAATCCAGAAATGAACCATCATTTATCATCATTTTTAGGTTTTTGCCTTTGGGGAGGTTATGGGGGCTGAAACCTCGGGATTTGACACCAAGTCAGATCTCTAGCCCCTTCTTTCTTTTTTTTTCTTTCCCATTTTTAAAATTTTTTTTACCTTTCCATTCCTTCCTTTCTCCTTCCTCCCTTCTTCCCCTCTCCATTTGAACATTTTCTTTCTATTTCACAATACCTACTAGGCATTTTCATCCTTATTTATACTTTTTTTTACAACAGAGACACAACATGATATTTAAACATGTGTCCCATTTATTTCACATAAGAGTATGGTCTCAGGGGCTCCAGTGGCACAGTTGGTTAGTGTGTAGTACTTACACAAAGTATGGTTTCAAGGTGTATCCATTTACCTAGAAATGTCTCAAGTTTATCCTTCTTTATAGCTGACTAGTATTCCATTATTCCATTATATGAAAAACCCTGCATCTTTGTCCATTCACAAGTTGATGGGCATTTGGGCTGTTTCCAAGAGGTAGCTATTATAAACTGTGCCATGATAACTATGGGTGTGCATATATCGCTGTGGTCTGATGCTTTTAATTCTTTTGGGAAGATACCAAGAAGAGAAATAGCTGGGTCAAGTGGAACCTCTAGTCCTAGTTTTTTGAGGAATCTCCACAATGATTTCCACAGTGGTTGCACCAGTCTACACTCCCACCAACGTTTCCCCACAGCCTCTCCAGCATTTGTTATTTTTTGATTTCTTGATAATAGCCATTCTTTCTGGTGTGAGATGGAATCTCAGTGTTGTTTTATGTTGCATCTCTTAAATGACTTGTGATGTTGAACATTTTTTCAAATATTTATTTGTCATTTCTATTTCCTCATCTGACAACTGTTTATTCAATTCAGATGGCCAGTTTTGGATTGGGTCTTCAAATTTGGGGAGGGTCAGTTTTTTTGAGTTGTTTATATATTCTAGATTGTAATCTTGTCTGAGGAATAACTGGCAAAAATTACTTCCCACACTGTCTATTGGCTCTTCACTCTGTTGGTGATTCTTCTTGCTGTGCAAAAGCTTTTTAATAAGATGAGATATTAGTTGTTGATTCTTTGTGATAGTTCCTGTGTGATTGGGGTTTTGTTCATAAAGTCTTTGCCTACAGTGAGGCCTTTAAGAGTTCCACCTATTCTATCTTCCAGCAGATTTAATGTTTCTATTTTAATATTTAAATATTTGATCCATTTTGATTTTTGTTTAATGCATGGTGAAAGATAGGGGTCTAATTTTAATCTTCAGCATGTGGGGAGCCAGTTTTTCCAGCACCATTTATTAAAGAGGCTATCTTTCTTCCAGTGAAGGTGTTTGGTACCTTTGTCAAGCATAAGGTAGCTAAGTATGTCTGGAGCTGTTTCTTTATCTTCTAATCTGTTCCACTGATCATCAGGTCTGGCTTTTTTGCCAGTACCATGCTGCTTTTATCATAGTAGCTTTGTAATATAATTTCAAATCAGGGATTGTCATGCTCCCTGCCTTGTCTTTGTTGCTGGGAATTATTTCTGCTATTCTAGATCTCTTCTGGTTCCAAATGAATTTGAGGATTGTTTTCCCTAATTCTGTGAGATGTGCTGTTGGAATTTTGATTAGAATTGCATTAAATCTGTATAATAATTTTGGAAATGGGGCTATTTTGACTATATTGGTTCTTCCTACCCAAGAACAAGGGGTATCTTTCCATTTTCTGATATCCTCTTCAATCTCCTTTTTCATAGTACTGTAGTTTTCAATGTAGAGGTCTTTTACTTCCTTTGTTAGATTGATTCCTAGGTATGTCATTTTTTTGGGATGCTATTGTGAAAGGTGTTGTTTTCTTAATTTCTCTCAAAGAGTTTTTTATTCATGTATAGGAAGGTTGTTGATTTTTGAGTGTTGACTTTACATCCAGCTATGCTACTGAATTTGGTTAGTCTTTTGGTAGAATTTTAGGGGTCTTCTATGCAGAGGATCATGTCAGCTACAAATAATGATAATTTTAATTTCTTCCGTTCCTATTGTTATTCCTTTACTTCTATCTTTTGTCTAATTGCTCTGGCTCACATTTCCAGAACTACATTGAATAAGAGTGCTGATAGTGGACATCTTTGAAAACTTTCAGTTTTTGTCCACTCGGTGTGATGTTGGCTGTTGGTTGTCATAGATGACTTTTATTAGATTGAGATAAAGACCATCTTTTCCAATTCTCTCTAGGGTTTATTGTGAATGGGTGTTGGACTTTGTCAGATGCTTTTTCTGCATCTGTTGAGAGCATCGTATGGTTTTTTTCCTTGGCTCTGTTAATACGGGGTATTACATGTATTGATTTGCATATGTTGAACCACCCCTGCATCCCTGGGGTGAATCTTACTTGGTCTTCATGTATAACCTTCTCTTTGCTGCATTGTTTGCCAGTATTTTATTGAAGATTTTTGCATCTATGTTCAATAGGAAGATTGGCCTGTAGTTCTCTTTTTAGGTTGAATCCTTCTTTGGTTTTGGTATCAGGGTAATGCTTGAATTTGGGAATATTGTTTCTCTTTCAGTTTCATTGAAGAGTTTGAGAAGTGGTGGCATTAGGTCTCCTCTAAATTTCTTGTACATTTCACTAGGTTATATCTGTTAGGTCCTGGGCTTTTCTTTGCTGGTAGGTTTTTAATTTCCTTAATGTTGATTGATATTGGTTTATGATCTATGGCCATACCACCCTGAATGCGCCTAATCTTGTCTGATATTGGTTTATTTAAAATTTTTTTATCTTCTTGAATCATCTTTGGTGATTCATATGTATTTAGGAATCTGTCCATTCTTATGCATTTTCCATCTTATTAGAATACAGGTTCTCAAAGTAGGTATAAATGATCTTTTTGATTTCTGTAGGATCAGTTGTGATTTCACTGTTTATATTCCTAATTGTGTGGAGTTGAGTTTTTTTTCTTTCTTTTTTTTTGATAAGGTTAGCTAAGGCTTTGTCAATTTTATTTAATCTTTCAAAGAACCAGCTTCGATTCACTAATTCTTTGTGTTGTTTTTTTAGTCTCCAGTGCATTAATTTCTGCTTGGATCTTTATAATTTTCTCTTTCATACAGTCTTTGGGCTTGACCTGCTCTTTTTTTTTTTTTTTTCTAGAAGCTTGAGGTTCAACATTAAGTAGTTTTTATGAGCTGGCTCTATTTTCCTAATATGGGTATTCACTGCTATACATTTCCTTTGTAGGACTGCTTTCACTGTGTCCCATAAGTTCTGATATATTGTATTGTCATTGTGATTTAATTGTAGAAACTGTCTAATTGCTTCTTTAATTTCATCTGTGACCCATTGTTTGTTCAGGAGAGTGCTGTTTACCAGGCAGGTGCTTGAGCTGCTGAGCTATATCCCCAGCCCAGGAGGG